GCCCCGGGTGGTGCGGGGTCGTGGATGCGCACTGCTGGGGAATCCCATACTGGGACGAAACGGCCGTCCAGTACTATTCAATCCACAAAAACCCCTTTCTGATAAAAGTACACTAATTTTTTTAAAATTAGGATAATAAAGATTAACATGAAAATTTCTATTATATAAGACAAATATATTCAAGTTGTTCAGTGAAACTGACTTAATTTATATATATTTATTAGTGGGCTATTTAAATTTCATTATACATTTTAATAAGGTAACTCCACCTGCAGCTCTCCTAGAATTACTGCCGGTCCTAACCTCGGATAAAAAAGGAGGGTTGAGCATGGGGTTAGCGTCCCCATCCCGTAGAAAACTAACTCGCTAAAAAAACGCCAACGAGAAAAAATAATTCAAACCATTTAAACTCTGCCCTGGTTGTTAGAAGGTCTTCATTTAGAAGAAATATGTCGCCTTATGGTGAAAGCCGAGTTCCTTCGGAATCCACGAGGCCGATGCCTCTTCTAACAACCGGAGCAACAATTTTTATAGATACATGGAACGTTCGGACAATGTGGGAGACCGGGAAGATCAGTTGAATAGCAACGGAAATGAGGAGATACAACTTGGTAGTACTGGGAATCAGCGAAACCCACTGGACTCAATTTAGACAACAAAGGCTAAATACAGGAGAGATGCTGCTATTTCGGCCACGAAGAGGAAAATCCTGCACACACTCAAGGAGCTGCTCTAATGCTGTCCAAAGTATCACGAAATGTACTTGCAGGATGGTAATCTCACTGATCCAGAATCATCAAAGCATCATTTAAAAAAGAAGGAGGGGATCACGATTAATATTATCTAATGTTATGCACCCAACAATTACAGCGACGACGACATTAAAGATCAATTCTATGGGGGGGGGCTGCAATCAATCATAGAGAAGTGCCCATGAAAGGACCTCACCATTCTGATGGGAGATCCAAATGCCAAAGTTGGAACAGACAACATCGGATATGAAGATAATATGGGATGACATGGACTGGGACAGAGAAACGAAAATCGAGAAAGATTTGCAAATCTATGTGCATTCAACAAACTGGTAATAGGGGGCACAATATTTCCACACAAGCGTATACACGAGGCTACATGGATCTCACCGGACCACACTACAGAGAACCAGATAGATCATATTTGCATCAATAAAAAGTTCCGAAGGACAATGGAAGATGTGGGAACCAGGAGAGGAGCTGACACAGCTTCAGATCACCACCTAGTTGTAGCCAATCTAAAACTGAAGCTAAAGAAGAACTGGACAACTGGACAAACAGCACTACAAAGGTTCAATACAGCCTTCCTTACACATACTGACAAACTCAACGAATTCAAGATAACTCAACAACAGGCTCCAAGACCTACTGGATCTGCTGAAAGAGGAAGAAACTACTATGGAGGACAAATGGAAAGGTATCAAAGGAGCATTAACTTCAACGTGTCAAGAGGTTGTGGGCGTAAATAAGCATTATCATAAGGAATGGATCTCTATAGGAACACTGGGCAGGATCAAGGAAAGGAAGAACAAGAAGACAGCAATTAACAACAGCTGAACACGAGCAGAGAAAGTCCAAGCACAAGCTGAATACATAGAAGCAAGCAAGCAAGTGAAGAGGAGCATTAGAGTCGACAAGAAGAAATACGCGCGAGAACTAGCAATGACAGCGGAAGAAGCTGCTAGAGAAGTAAATATGAAACAGCTTTACAATACAACGAAGAAACTAGAAGGGAATATAGTAAACCAGAGAGCCGGTCAAAGACAAAGAAGGCAAGCCAATCACTGAAATTCAACAGCAGCGGAACAGGTGGGTAGAGCACTTCGAGGAACTCCTGAATAAGCCGGCTCCAATGAATCCACCGGACATCGAAGCAGCACACACAGATCTTCCTATAAATGTCAATCCACCAACGACGGAAAAAATCAGGATGGCCATCAGACAAATCAAGAGCGGGAAAGCAGCAGAACCCGACAATATACCTGCTGAAGCACTGAAGTCAGACATCGAAGTAACTACAAACATGCTTCACCTTTATTCAAAAGGATTTGGGAGGAGGAACAAGTGCCAATGAACTGGAATGAAGAACACCTCGTCAAGATTCCAAAGAAAGGAGATCTGAGCAAATGTGAAAACTACAGAGGCATTACACTTCTGTCAGTACCAGGAAAAGTCTTCAACAGAGTTTTGCTGAACCGGATGAAAGACACAGTAGACGCCCAACTTCGAGATCAACAAGCTGGATTCCTTAAAAATCGGTTATGCACAGACCAAACTACGACACTACGGATCATCGTCAAACAATCAGTTGAGTGGAACTCGTCACTGTACATCAACTTCATTGATTATGAAAAGGCATTTGATAGTGTAGATAGGAGAACGTTATGGAAACTTCTTCGACACTATGGAGTTCCTGAGAAGATTGTCAAGATCATCCGGGACTCATACGACGAACTACAGTGCAAGGCCGTGCATGGAGGACAGCTGACAGATGCATTCCAAGTAAGGACCGGAGTCAGACAAGGCTGTCTACTCTCTCCCTTCCTCTTTCTTCTGGTGGTCGACTGGATTATGAAGACCTCGACATCTGAGGGAAAACGCGGAATACAATAGACAGCTCAGAATCAGTTAGACGATTTGGACTTCGCAGATGACTTGGCCCTCCTGTTACATACACACAAACAGATGCAGATAAAGACAGCCAGTGTAGCAGCAGTCTTCGCAGCAGTAGGCCTCAGCATACACAAGGGGGAAACCGAGGTCCTCAAATACAACACGGAGAACCGCAATCCAATCACTCTTGATGGCGAAACTCTGGACGATGTAGAATCCTTCAAAAAACTGGGAAGCATAATCGATTAACAAGGAGGATGCAGACATAAAGGCGAGGATTGGCAAAACAGGACATCATTCCTACAGTTGAAGAACATATGGAAATCAAAACAACTTTCAACCAATATCAAAGTGAGAATCTTCAATACGACCGTCAAGGTAGTTCTACTGTACGGAGCTGAAACTTGGAGGACTTCTACAACCACCATCAAGAAGGTGCAAGTATTTATAAATAGCTGTCTACGCAAGATACTTAACATCCATTGACCGGATACCATCAACAACAGCCTTTTGTGGGAGAGAACAAACCAGCTTCCAGCTGAAGAGGAAATTAGGAAAAGACGATGGAAATGGACAGGATATACATTACGCAAATCATCAAACTGCATCACCAGACAAGCCCCAGCTTGGAATCGTGAAGGGAAGTGGAAAAGAGGAAGGCCAAGGAACATATTACGTCGGGAAATAGAAGCAGATATGAAAAGGATGAAAAACAACTGGAAAGAGCTGGAAAGGAACGCCCAGGACAGGGTTGGATGGCGAGTGCTGGTGGGAGGCCTATACTCCTTCGCGTCGAGTAACAAGCGCCTGGGGGGTAACGTTTTAACAAAGTATATTTCATTTAAATAGATTATGTTTATATATAAGCGGACAATATTGTTTTTGATTGGATCTTCATCAGGCTTTACTCTAAAATACAGTAATATTTATATACATATATGAAATTATTAAACCAATCAAGACAGTTTATGAGTCAATGATAGCAGTGGAATAGATTTCATAAATAAATATGAAAAGTGAAAAGTACAAATGGGTAGTGGGATGACAGGTGTACTAGTTGTGATAAATATAATAAAGGCTTGAATCAATGTTACATAATGGGAAATAGGTCAATTATTAGAAAAAAATAGACGCTGAAATAACGTAATAAGAAGTGTTCAGATAATTGAACCATGAAATGTAAATTTAAGAGAAAAAAATAAAGTGATAAGGGGGGGGGGAGAATAAAAATAAACGAAGACATTTATAAGCAATGATGAATAGTGGCTAAAAGTGGAATCCAGGACGCGCGTTTCGTCATACGCACGGTATGCACATATGCCAATAACAGACTGATCAATTGCAGTCTTAAACCTCAATGGGAAGATACAAACCAAACAATACCAAGTGAAGATATTTATTATTAAAGCCAGGGGAGAGATAAGGGTGTTAAATAAACTGTCTTGATTGGTTTAATAATTTCGTATATGCATATGAATATTACTGATGAGGTTCTAATCGAAAACAATATTGTTCGCTTATATATGTTGTTCTAAATCACAATATGGGAATTTTCCAAACAAATTATAACTAAAGTCAAATTAGATTTTCACTTGAACTGTTTATAAGGACTTGTTCAAATTAACATAAGTTTTTTTTGTTACAAATGAATATCAACTAGGGAATTATTGAAATGATATTACACTTGATTATTATATGCATTCATTTATGGTTGAACTGTGAACATTTAATTTACTGATATGCATTTATATTATGCTATATACACCTTCATCATTGTTGTTCTCTTAGACAAGTTAACGTTTTTTTAATCGTTCATAATAAGAGGACAATTTCAATAGATTAGTAATTTGGTCTATCTTAAATTAACTGTAAGAAATGATCATATCTGAATATCATCTTACACGACTATTATGTAAGTCATCTGATATGTAATGTACAAATTTGGAACTTATTATGCCAGTACACAATTGATATCACTCATAACTCAATCCAGGAACCATTGGAAGAGGAGGCACTGTACTTTAAATTGTGAGATTCCAACCTAGAACTTATTGGTCTCGCGTGCGAGCACTTAACCACTAAACCACTGAGCCGGCATTCAACAATGTTAATGTCTAACTTCAACTAATCCATGAAATTGAGTGACATATCCAACATTGTCATCAGTGAGTTACTACCTCAAAACTAAAGAGTCCCATAACAGGACGAGACGGCTGTCTAGTTCCTCCAAGTTTTCCATGGTAGTCTAGTTTCAACTAACTCATGATCTCAACCATTTAAAGTATTTAATTCTTTAAAATTTACTATATTAGATAATAATATAAATATTAATGATAATAATCGAAATATACTTACTTGAGTTAATGCAATTGTATTATTTGATTGATCAAATGGTAACATACAAGATTTTTTAATAAATGCACAAAATTTTTGTGAATATGTTAAAAATTTTATAAAAAATTGTTTATTTTTTAAATAATGAAATAATTTTATTTTTTTATTATTAAAACTTGATGTTGTTGTTGTGGTTGTTGCTTCCATAGTTACATTGGTTTTATTGTCAATTTCATTTAAATTTACCGAGTCATTTTTTGTTTTTTTATTTGTACAATTAACTTTATTATTAATATGATTGTAATTATTATTATTATTATTATTATTATTATTATTATTATTCATAGAAGTATCATAATCATTAATTTTTGTATTGAATGGTGGAAGAAGAATTCGTTTACGTCGACGACCATGTGAATGTGTTGGATTTACAATTGGATCATTATCAACTGGTTCATTTTGTTGCAAATTATTATTATTTATAAATTTATTTATTTGTTCTATTTGTTTATTATTATTATGATTATTAAATATTGAAGCAGAACAAAATCGTTCACAACTTGTTCTACATGTACGTGAATAAATTACACGAAATATATCAGCTAAATAATCACCAATATTAGAAAGATATAAGAACATTAATGGGATTCCAATTAATGCATAAATTATTGTCATAAATTTGCCTAGATTTGTTTTTGGAGTAGCATGACCATAACCTAAAAATAAAATAGAGTAAAAATATGATAAGATTTTTCTATGTAATGAAATAAGAAATAAGAAAGATTAGTTCAGCGAAGAGATCTCTTTTCGGCGAATTCATTTTGAAAGCTGTACAATCAGACAATCAGACTGCATCTTCTCTGCATTGCCGAAGCAATAGACATACATCTGGAAAAACCAGAATTGTGTGTGCAAAAGAGATTGTTACAACCTCTTCTTCTACCATGGTCTTAATGTATTAAAATTTTCTCTCTTTTTCATACTCATGTTTCTTTGCAGACATCTACATCACCTTCTATCTTCCCTTTAAATCTTCTACCCCCAACTGGTTTGTTTTTAATTCCACGATCATTCCGATTACATTTCATCTCTGTTTCAATATTTGATTTTATCATGTTGAGTCATCCTTTCCCAATAATAATTTCCCTATCTATCTTTTGATGAATACTTAAGCCAATAACAATCAAACGATTATTAAACTTTCCTTGTTTTAAAATTTTTATTATTTTTAATACCTTTGTTTATTTAACCTCACTGTCGCCATGTATAACAGAAGTTTATTATCAGTATTATTATCATACTGTAAAAATAAGTATATATAGTTGCGATTGTACAGCTTTGAAAATGAATTCGCCGAAAAGAGAACTCTTCGCTGAACTAATCTTTATTAATTAATGTCTTAATGGGTGTTTTCCGTTTGTTAAATAAGAAATACTCATGAATAAATATCAGAAATGATAAACGTATCATGATTTTTAGCACCATTATAGTTGAATGTTTGAGTAATTTAAGTAAAATTGTAATCTGATGCAAAGCATTACATTTACTCTTTGTAATGTATAATAACGGCAACTATTCTATGTGTCATAAAAAAATCATATTTAAACGTTAACTGTCTTATACAGACAGCAAATATTTGGTAAAACTAAAGCAAAGAGCATGTAAAATGAAAATGGAAAATATATTTCTAATCAAGTGAATACTTAGAAATATCAGAATACTATTACCAGTTTCATACAGGATAACATAATATCTTATGTTATAGTATGTACTGTTGGTAAAAACTCAAGTAACAAGAAATAGTTTGTCATAAACGCATAAACTAATCAATAATATACACTGAACAAATTAAAGTAATTAGATGATTAGTATGATACTTCACTGAATAACTTCCAACTATTTGTCCTTTATCAAAGCTTTATTTGAAATATGCTTGATCCTGATATATACGATGGCTAGGTTTATTTAATATAAATCAAGTATTTGATTCTACAAATTGGAATATCTATTCAATATATGTAAACAAAAATAAACCATAATTTGTTTAATCATACAACCTACTACTTTTTATCTGAAATCTGGGAGGTAAAGAACGAAATATGCGAAAAAAATTATAACAGGAAAAACTTTTGAAATGAAGAAAATGAAGAAAAAGTTTATTATTATCTTTAAATAAACAATGATATTTGACAAAGAGCCCACGATGAAATTAAAACGAACACTATAGAAAAGCAAAAATTCACTGATTTGTAAATAACCGTGTATCGACAATAAATGATAAACTATAAGAACATATGAATAATTCTAGAGAAAGAAAACATGGTTAATCCGATTCTCATTTCATCGTATTGTTTTAGTTACAGGGTTGTTTTTCATCTACTCACATAATTTCATCAAGAAATACAAATAATAAATAAGGAGTTCTATTTTTTTCCGCACCCCTAAATGCTCTGGTACAGCTGAGAGTGAGTTGAATCAGCTCTCGCTCTCGAAATGCTCTCATATGACCACGCATATACAGCCACTGACAGGGAAATCCTGCTCACTAAATTCTCGTGGTAGACGGTACTGTTTACGAAATTGAAAGGACAAAAAGCGAATACCCGGCATTTTAACTGAATTGTTAGATATGGAGGATCCACTTGATTCCAAACCAATGGTGCATATGAGCTCCAGAATCCTGAGGGGAAAAAATAGCGTATGAAACAATTATTAGTCGCCGGCTACCATGAGACTGCATCTCCTGAATTCGCTTCATTGTTTTTTGGATCAAACCTTCAGGTCGAAGTCTCCGAGTGTAGCTCTATAGGATAACTACCTACTTTGGTTTGGGCACCCGGACAAATATCACAACCCACATACAAATCAAGTAACTTGTGCGACGCATATATATTCATCACCTCTTTGTATGAATATTTATGTATTCGAATGAATAAATAAATAATTTTTTTCCATTAAAAAAAGAATAATTTCTGAAAATATATAATAACTTATTGCCAAGATTTCACTAGTTTACTTATAAGACAGTTAATTCTTGTTCAGATTCAGATTCAGATTTGTGTAGTAAAGACAGAAGGCCTACGGCCTATGTTATTCCTTTTCTAGTATGCTTCTGTGAGTGTCCAGTCTTCTCTTGAAAGAGTCAATTGAAGGTGCGGACACTACTGCTTCAGGCAGCAGGTTCCAAGCATTGATGACTCGGTGTGAAAACCTGTATGCCCCGGGTATTTTGTTCGTTCCTGGCTTTTCTACTCGCCTGCTATGTCCTCTAAGGTGTCCCGATCTAGTCATTACAAAATATAATGAAAATTTAAAAAAAAATTAATTTATCCCCTTTATTTAATTTCCAAAGAAAATCAATTCAATTTACCGACGACAAATCTTAAACAATCAGAGAATTACTTTACCTGTTAACTAATTAATATGATAATATAAAGATAATTTCCTTTCATCTAGAGGCCTATATACATATCTATATATTCTAGATGTTATTAGAGGAAAAGTGAATAAGTTGTATGCAGGAACATCATTCACTTTATATATATATTTATTTCATTATCAGTAAATGGATACATTTTATTTCTTATTTAACATTGTTGCTAATAGAATGTATCTTTTCATTTTATATGACCGAAAAACAAAAAAACAAAATTATAAACTATATATATGTATTTACAGTTATTGATTAGACACAGAGAATGATGTTACTATAGTTCATTTTTATATTTATACTACTTAGTTAATTTATAATCTTTCATAAGAAATAATGTTAATTGTTTTGACTGTATATAACTCATTCTAACACTAATATATGGTAACTAATTCAACTGTTTGTTATAATGGTAGTTCAAAAGAATTTATATTGATAAAAAATTATTCTCAGAAGGGGTTTGTAGAGATTTTAGAAATTTTCACAGATTGAAATCATGAGTCAATTGAAGCTAGACCAGTATGGAAAACCTGGAAGCACTGGACGGACGTTTCGTGGATTGGTTGAAGTTAGATATTAACACCGTTAGATGCCGGTCGGCTCAGTGGTCTAGTTGGTGAAGCGCTCGCGCGAGAGACTGATAGGTCCTGTGTTTGAATCTCGCGGGTTGCGGGATCGTGGATGCGCATTGCTGAGGAGTGTTATACTAGAACGAAACGACCATTCAGTGCTTCCAGGTTTTCCATGTTGTTCTAGCTTCAATTGACTCATGGTTTCAATCTGTGAAAATTTACTCATGATAATTGATTATGTGTAGCCATTGAGAATGATTAGGTATATACATTTCACATATTTTTCAATATATATATCTAATCTATAAAGTCAATACGAAAAAGAATCAGATATTAGTATAAATATATAAAATATGCAGTAAAACCCTTCAGACTAATAATGATGAAATTATCTTATTACAATTTTATTAGAATGTATATTTTAGAACTGGATACCTAGTTCGTACATTGTACCTAGAAGTAATAAACAATGATTTCAATCAACTAAACACAAGCTTTTTGTAAGCGATGATGGATAGTAGCTTACAAAAAGCTTGTGAATTAAGCAATATGGAGGCATACGCACAGTATGCACATATGCCAATAACAGACTGATCAATTGCAGTCTTAAACCTCAATCTGGAGATACAAGCAAAACAATACCAAGTGAATTTAAATTCACTCCATTGCACAAGCAACTGGCTATCAGGACTCAGTAGTTGGGTGAATAACGCGATGGCGTTTGAAGCGAATGGTACTGTGTTCGAGTCCCAGAGTGACCATCAACTCTGAGATGTAGGTACATCCAACTGACGAGTCCCAAATAGGACGAAACGCGAGTCCTGGGTTCCACTGCTAGCCACTATCCATTAATGCTTACAAAAAGCTTGTGAATTAAGGTAATATCGAGGCATACGCACAGTATGCATATATGCCAATGATCAATTGCAGTCTTGAACCTCAATGGGAAGATACAAGCCAAGCAATACCAAGTGAACTAAACAAAATTTGTTTTTTTTTGAGAAATATTTATATGACTTTGATGCAAATCATAATATCTTTTATATACAGTGCAGTATAATTGATTAGTAATTTCTTGTTATATCTATCAAGTCAAATGCTTTATTTATAGTTTAATGCTAACTAATAATTGATAAATGGCTTTTATAATGTTAAATAAAGATAAGATAATACTAGAAAGGAATTCATTTCACTTGTAGTTAGAAAACATGATGTCCAGTGAATTGTATCTAATTAATTATCAAAGACTATATATAAAGAAAAACTGAACTATATTATTGTTTATATTCTAATGAATATTCAATATTTATCACCTATTGTGTTACTATGTATTATGGTTAATATCATAAATTGGTAAACAATTAGACCGTAACCACAGTGATATTTAAATACAAGGCTATAACTGGTATTTACTGACTTCAGTTAACAGTATAAATACTATTTAAATATTATTTTCATTTAAAATGAACTAATCCATGGTGTAAAATAGGCGTAGAAGTTATTTTTAATTTTATCTTTTATGGGTTTTTGGATTCAACTTTCAGTAACTTTATCTCATGTTGTTTGATGTAAGCACACATTGTATTATTAACTTTATATGGAAAATATTTAACATCTCATTGACTTCCCACTATATACAGAAGTCAATCTTAATCTCATTAATTACTTTTATTCATAAGCTTATTCACGTTCTTATGACTTTTAATGTTGATCACTACTACTTACTAGTAAGGGAGTTGGTCATGCGATGAGCTGCTAAGAATTATTGATTATTCAAAATACACAATCCCTCACATGGAATATATGATCATTGAGATTTTAAAGGAAAAACTAGTATTTGATTATATCATGATCACCAGGTAATAAAAAAATCCAACTCCAGCCACTGTAGAGTAGTACGTAGACAATTATTTGACCAAATGTGAACGCCTAGGCAGTATTACGGATTTACACAGACTATGACATCCTTAATAACAAATGTAAATAACTTATTCACATAGCGCTTTCACAAATTACAAGTATATTATTACAGATAATCTAATTTACTTCACTACATATCTTTATTCCCCTTCGTTTGCATTTAGTTCATTATCTTTCCCAAATTTTAGTACTGAAATCACTCAATGACTTATTCGTGTTTTAATTAATTAAGTCATTACTTTTAAACGATTCCTAAAAATGTAATATCGAATGTATTTAGAATCCAGACACTCATGTCTCAGAACATGTAACAAAAAATAGGTCTAATTGACACTGTAGAAAATCGAGCTACTACTGTACACTATATGTCACACTTGCATTGGAGGTTCTATGGAATGGTTTTTATGGGAGCAGATGCTAAACCACCACGAATCAAGTAAATGCCTGCTAACTATGGTTTATTTGTTGTAAGACTTGAATTTTTCATTAAAATTACGATTGAGACAGGAAGAGAAGTCTATATCTCTCTCCTTATGTTTTGGTCAATTAAATCTTAAGGTAACCGAATATTTATTATGATTTTATTCTCAATACTGTTTATTGGCATGATCCTTTTCATTATGACATTTGCCATTCATTTCTTTAAGCTAATCTTTCAAAATATCACAATCATACCTAGTTTTAAATATGACAGAATAATGTTAAGACATACTGAATAGCTATTGTTTGAAGTTTGATATACATACGCAAATAATTTTGCGTTATATTGATCAAATTAAATATAATTACCGATATTCTTATATTGAAAGATGTATAATGAAGAAATGAAACAGTGACCTGATACGTAAGCAACTAAATCTTTTTCAATAATTATATTAGTATACATATCTGACTTTATGATTAATTTAATCAAACCATCTGTTCATCAGTTTGGTAGGTTAATGAAACGACATCATTTTCTTATTCAAACCATTCAATTTACTTTGTTCGTAGTTTTCTATGTTACCCTTCATTCAAATTATCCATATTTTTAATGTAAAAGCATTAAATCTTTCGTTAAAATAAAAAAGGGATAGAACTAAACTTCTTCCTTATTGATTTGATGTCATTATTCAAATAAAACTGTTGTCAATCGAGTTTCTTCTGAACTGGACGTAACAGATTATTTATGCCGTAGGAAGTCGCCCTGATGCCATAAGAAAAAGAAAAAGAAACTGATGAGAGATAAAGATTTATTTGACAGCAAAAGTCAATTAAAATCCTATTTTAAAACATTGATTTTTATAGGTTTTCTATATTGGATAATATCTGATCTTTGAATAACTTCAACTGATTACTGCTTGCTATCGATTGTTTAATAAATTACTGCATGAACGAAATGTAAAAATATATTAAAATTGTGATTCTGCAATTTGTACATATAACTGATCACTTGAATTCGGTTCTGATCAACACTTTAAGAAATAAAAATCCACACTCGTAATAATCTTTATTTTATTTGTTAAAGGAGGTTTTATCAAGATCCCACATTAACTTGGAAACTATTGGAAACTAAAGAGCACTTGACATCTAATTTATCCAGTTTGATATCACTCAGTAATGTACACTCACAATCATATGCAAAATCAATCCTAAAATTATCATTTCTCACTTCTGTTTTACTGTTTTCAGAATAATAATACAAAGTCCACTTATCCAAACTTTCAACTTTAGTAGATTTGGATAAAAGCAGATCTATATTTAGTTCAGTTGAATAACTGTCACTGTTCAAAACGTCGAGAATCATTTCCGTAGCAAGTTATTAATGAACTTATGATTATTATTTAGTTAGTTCAGTTTATAAATAGTGTTCGTCATAGGCTGGCATTTTCTGGAGAACAACTAAAGTCAAAGCACCGTTGAACAATGATTTCTCCTAGTCCGTGACTCTTTTGTACCTATGACCCCATCAAAGATGCCCAGTTATCACGGTTAGCACCATAATTCAAATACCAAGGTAGGATTGAATTCACATCTTGATAGTTTTAAAAGTTCAGGAAATAGGTTAACTATGTGTCTGGATGAAGAAACCTAAATGTATTGACCAGTTTTTGAGCAGAGAACATTGTAACTCATTGTAACATATTATGAAAATGCACACTTGTCAAAAAGTAAACTGTTTTGTATCAACCATGGTGTTCATTCTATCGACATAACTATGAAGGAAAGAGTCTCTTTTAAGTTAAGTATGGTAAACAGTACACCAAATCATACTTCTATATTCAAAGTATACATATATATTAACTGGAAGGTATTCAAAATTTGTATAATAAGATTTTGATTAGTTTAAAACTGTATCTAAAATATGTTAAACTAAGGTGGACAAGCAAATTTTGGACTAACAGACTGATCTAACAAACTGTTATTAGACAAAGATAATTTACTAATCATCTGTCTTCATTCAATTAATCTATAAAAGTTAATTCATTCATTATCTGGTTTTTTGTTGAATAATAATCATCCAAATAAATTTTAGAGATCTTTGAGGATAAAAGCGATTTTAAACTACTTTCAAACATATCAATACATCCTGCTTGGAGAAACTCACTACTATTATTACCACTACTTATAGAGTCTATTTTTTTATACATAAATACCAAGATAAAAAAACAAGGCACTTCTCTTCTAAACAGGAAACTAAATCAATGATGGAAAAAACTGTTTTATTAAGTGCTATGAAATCTTATCAACATCAGGAAATATTCTTTGGAAAATTCATATTTATATATTCATCAATGAAACAGTAGGCTAAATTATGTTATTTCTTTTCAAAAGCAAATATAACAGTAATAATAACAGGTTCACCGAACAGTTAATCAGCTTAGTTTGTAAAAATATTAATTATATAAGTCAATTATTGACCATATTAAGCAAAGATGGATAATGGCTAGCAGTGGAATCCCAGGCGTGTGTTTCATCTTATTCGGAACTCGTCAGATGGATGTGTCTGCACCTCAGAGTTGATGGTCACTCCGGGACTCGAACCCAGTAACCTTCGTTTCAACATCGAGGCAATACACACAGTATGCACATATGCTAATAAGATACTGATCAATTGCAGTCCTAAACATCGATAGGAAGATCCAAGTAAACAATACCAAATATCGGCCATATTATTTATTAATTGAATACTAGAAGGCACTGAATAGTTTTATTGATCCATTTTATCAGTCTATGATAAATACAATACAGAGTTGAACCAAGTATTTGTATAACTCGTTCATATTTTCTAATCCAGCTTACTTACCATATAGTATGATGGTCATAAATTACTGTGGCGTGTGCTACTTATATCGATATAAGTAGTATATAACGCCAGTCAGGAATAGAATATCTGGCAGCAGAAGGTCAAAAAGATCGAGGAGGAAAGAATGGGAATAAAAAACAATTGGTATTCAATTGCAGAAACTGATATTTGCTAAAGGAACAGTCAAGTTTGAGACAGCTGATTGACATTTTGCAAATGAAGTATTTACTGTATGGTTCTCAGATTTTAATAAGATGTTTTGTAATTTCGTGTCCAAATATATTCTATTGTCCTTACCTGTATTTTCGTTCACTATTGGCGGTAACTATTTCAATCCTGAGTGTGTTAAACACTAGTTCACTGTTTGTTTTCAAGAATCTAATGTGAAAGCTAATAACTAGTGTGTTCCAGTAAAAAAAGTAAATTAACTAGAAATAAACTAAATACTTGTAATAAATCATACAGTAACGTTTAACATGCAAAATTGTTCAGCCCATAAAACTAATGATACATTATATTTTTAGTAAGTAGTAAAAAACAATAAGTAATTTATCATGGAATTATTGAAATACTTTCAAGTTATCTTTACGGACAATCCACCTGTAAATAAATAAAATCTTATAGTCCGATAATCTTATGTATATTTTTAGACAGAAGAACCCAGATATAATTGTGAAGGGAACAAACATTACGGTTGCATAAGTATATGCATATAAATGGATATAATTTTTGGAGACGATAAATATACGATATGGAAACAGACCAAACAAAATTTATATTGTATGGAAATGTAGAAAAAAGAGGTGATATTTAAGCTGAAGTTCAAACTATTTTTATCTATATAGATATGAATCAATTATATTATGCATTTAAGTCAGTAGCTTTATTTTTACGTTTTTGTATCCACTGTATATCGTTCATATGTAGCGATCATTGTTTATCTGTATAACTTTGAGGTTAATAAGTTTGTGAAGTGATATCGAATTCTTTGTGATGGGCATCGAACAATGCAGTAGTGTATTGTTGTACGTATTCAGTACTTTTTTTTAGTTGTATTTAACATTTCAAAACTATGTTGTAGAAGTCCTTAGGCAAAAGAAATAAGTTTTAGAAATAGCGATTTTCTCATTTTGGTAATATCTATGATGTACCATAAAAGACAGTACACCAAGTTGTCGAATGAATTTATTTAGCGATCATTTAATCTAACATAAATATCTTATACCTGAAAAGTTCTTCTAGATTCAACATCGTGATTTTAGCTAATTCTATTTGGACGGTTAGTGACCAGTCGAGTTCAACCGGGTTTATTGTGAGATAATAACTCACTGATGACAATGGTGGATGCATCGCTCAATTTTGTGGATTAGTTGGGGTTAGACGTTAACACCGTTAGATGCCGGCTCAGTAGTCTAATGGTTTAGCGCTCGCGCGTGAGACTGATGTTTCCTGGGTTGGAATCTCGCGGAGGGGGGCGGGATCGTGGATGCGCATTAATGAGGAATCCCACAATAAGACGAAACGGCTGTTCAGTGCTTCCAGATTTTCCATGATAGTCTAGCTTCAATTGACTCATGATCTCAACTATTAAAATCACTGTAATATTCACAAAATTCCCTTCTGAAATTACTTTGAATTGATTAAAAATACAAGCTATTTTACTACACATTAGAAAATTTCCTATTCAATTAAAACATGATTTATCAAACATTCATACTTATTTATTAAATAATGTTAGTAACCTGGGTTCCTCTATTATTTTAATTTACACAATGAAGAACGATGACATCAAATAACTGTGGTCAACTAATATTATAATTATGAGTAAAATATACTGATTCAATTTGTCTGTCATTTATTGGAAATATAGACTGAAATTAGTTAAGATTTTCTTCTTTAAGGTTAGTATGTCAGATAATCAGATAAATAATGCACTTAGATATAATAGCGGTGATTTGACAAAAGATAATTCCCTTGTTTAGCAAATATTCTTATCACAAAGATGTTTGTTTATCTAAACAATAATTAATTAGATAATTTAGTGTTTATTGATTTCGTCGGAAATTTGATTTCGCAACCATAAGTGAATGAATTTCCATCACTTAGATACTACTTGCTGTGACTGACCGATGAGACAATTTTAAGAATCAAAAACATCCACAATGTCATTTATATACATCCTTATCAACTTTACGTTATGAATGTTTCATAAATAGTTTACTGACTTTTAGTATGTTTGGATTTAGACTAGAATCGAATTCTACACTCATTTAGGACTTGATAGCTGACTGCCAATTCAATCAAGTGTTGTTGTTTACACTGAGATTTCATCCTGGTGCCTATCACTTCAAACGTCATCTCATTACTTGTTAAGTAACTGAGTCCATGTAACTTCCAACTTTTTCAACACGAATAACTACTATTATTTTCACTCGTTGAGAATTTATATTTCCCACGATTTTTTTCAACAAGAACTGAATCTGACAAGTCCAAGTTGTCTTATTATTAATTTCCGCATACTAAATTTATGAATATAACCAAAGCAACAATTAAGGGAGAATATTATGGATTCAGTATATTTCGAGATTTCGCATCAGCTGCTATAACCATTGATATACATTGAAGTGCAACATTCAGGTAAGATGTAATGTAGAACGATCGACATTGATGATGGGAAAAACAAGCATAACAGAGATCATCATTAATAATAATGTATAACATTGGAACCATGAATCGATCAATGCCAGACCACCATTAAGAACCTAGATCCACCGGACATCCGTTTCGTTCCACTTAGCAACTTCGCAGTGCACATCCATGGCGCCTTACTCTAAAATTGAACCGAAGATTTTCGGTCTTGCCATCTACTGTTTACAGGTTTTAAATGGCAGTCTAATATTGATGAGTTCATAATTTCAATGATATACACCAGTTGTCCCACATAACATCTTCCCTCAATATTACACTTTATTACACATTAATATTTGTAAGCAGTTGATGCAATACCACAAAACATAATGTATTCATATTATTCTTCCTCAATGGTTGATTTACTTGATCTCTGTAAGCAAAACATAACTATTTCAATTTATACAGTTCTATCATTGAAAATGTTATCATTAATTTATATCTAAAACAGCTTGACTAATTTAGCAGCTATGTAGAAACTTGTATTTTCATTAATTTCATTTCATAACACAAAACTATTCAAATTACTCATCATTATTTACTGTAACAAAGATATTTGTGATATAGAAAAGATCACGATTTTTCTTTGTAAAACAATCACTTTATTTGAAAATCATGTTATATCTTATATTCATAATCAATTTTCATCATTATACCACTTCAATTAATAAAGCTATTGAAAAAATATTGAACATTTGATCGGTTTCAGATATACTACTTAAAAAAACTGTGGTCTAATTATCAGTAGTAAATTCAATTTGAAAATTATATTTTATTTCTTTTATACTTCTTTTGTTTTCTGTTAGTTTTTTTTATTTGCAACTTTGCCAGATTTCATACGTGATAATTAATATTATATTCATCAAGCATCAAGGAATAATCTGGAATATTTTTAACAGTCGTCAGGTTGGTAAAATCTCTAATTGTTTGAAATGCTTATTGTTGACATTTTATGAATATTGAAATATGAGTTAGTTAGTATCACACGCTTAATTCATTTACTATTATTAAACTAAATATCTGATTAATAAATATTCGGCTAAATTATGTAGAGGAGACACAAACAGTCTCATGTTGAAACGGAGACTTAAATTAGCCATCGACCGGATATTTTATGCAGCTCAACTTGTTATTATTGAAAAGACAAGGTATATGTTTCATCAAAAGCTCAAACAGCACGTAAGCGATTGTGTCACATCCCATTGTGCCTATCGATTTACATGTATGTGCGAAAACACGTACGTAGGGAGGAGCAATCGTGATTTGCAATTAAGGGTGGGTGAATACACATCAAAATGGCTGCAGAAGCAAATGGATTTCAATGGTCAAGTAAGATCACAAGATAGACCGACACCGTCTTCCATTGAGAAAAATTTGATTGAATTTGGTCATAAGGTTAACATTAAGTCAGCATTTTTAATGTTATACAAAACCTTCAAGGACGTATACTAAGGTTTATTGAAACCTGATTTAGTGCATACCAAATTTCTTCTGTATTAGAAACTTATGATTTGTTGTAGATTTGTTTATTAACTATTTTCCTATCTATAAACTAAGAAAGTGAATTTATGACCCATTCGCCATATAGAGTTCATTCAAAGCGTAATTAGGATTATCTGAAGTGTGAGTGAGCAAAAAGAAAACGTGTAAGTATTTATGTAAGAGAACAAATCTTCTGTGATGGTTAATATAATAGATTGTTGAATTCAATCAGTTATATAGGTACGATTACATAACTGCAATCCCTTTATGTTTTAAATATCGATAGGCATTTATCTTAAACTGTGTATGTAAGACCTAGTAAAATGTATATTAACATTAGAAAATAATTCGTGAATTAGCTGAAGTTAGACATTGACACCGTTGAATGCCGGTCCGCTCAGTGGTCTAATGGTTAAGCGCTCGCGCGCGAGACTGATACGTCTTGGGTTGAAATCTCACGGAGGGGCGGGATCGTGGATGCACACTACTGAGGAATCACACAATAAGACAAAACAGCTGTTCATTGCTTTCAGGTTTTCCATGGTTGTTCAGATTCAATTGAATCATGAACTCAACTATTGAAAGTTTAAATATATTTAAAAATATGAATGAGTATTAGCACTGAAATAAGTTATGATTATTTTAATGAAATGGATGATGTTTAGCATAAAAAAGAATACCCCTTTTTTAAGTAGTACTTTATTAATGTTAAACACTTTAAAAAATATATATTTATCCAAGTATAGGTAATAACAAACTACTTTCTTTCATTTGTAAATGAAAAAAACCCCGAATAAAGTACACAATATATAATTCTATACTTCAAAAGAATGAATAAAGGTTTATACAATTGAATTGTTTATTGGTTTTTCACTTGTTCAATACAACAACATTACAGTTTTATGTTGATATCACGATATTTTGTAATTTTTCAATTAAATTTTGTACGTATCTATAAAAACGAACGGTAGTTCAGATATTCGGTTAAATAAAATGATATGTCTAGAAACTGAAAAAAAAAATACAGTTAATGAAACATAACCAATGTCTAGTCTTAGTTTTTTTTCTAGCCTGTGTATAGTTTATATAATGTATACTTCTTTATTGGATCTAACTATTTTCATCATAGAGTTTAATAGAATAGAGAAATAGAAAACTTTTATGATATAAATTTCAGTAAATTTTTTTATAGTTTTTGATTGAGATCATGAACCGATTGATGTTAGATCACCATTGAAAAATCTGGAAGCATTGGATGGCCGTTTCGTCCTAATGTGGTGCAGTGTGCATTCACTTTACCGCTAGCAGGATCAAATTGTATTTGCTTGTTTGACATAGCTGTCAGTATGAAAAATTAGTGTAAAAAAGAAAATGGGATAAGTTCATCAATTTCAGATATCTTTTTCGTACAGTTAGAATAATCCATCAATCTAAAGTTATCAGTTGTTTTTTTTAAACATTCAATTTTGAAGAGTGAATGAAAAATTAATACCGTTCCTAACTAATTATAAACAAATATCAGCGTAAAACAGCACTTGGCATTGTTTGCTTGTATCTTCCCATAATACGATGAATCGTGAGTCCTGCATTTCACTCCTAACCACTATTTATCTTTAGTTAAATATCAGAGTAATTTTTCAGAAATTGAAATAAAAATCTGATCAACAGTTTCTGAAACACAATCACTTATCACAACAAGATATAATCAGAAATAAATTTCTAAAGTTCAATTAACAGCTATTTAAAGTAACACATGGCACAAAAAAAATACGTGACTGATACCTTATTTGATATACATAACTATGTAGTAAGAAAATTATTATTTTCAATCCCCAGCACTTCCCATCCATGATCCGGCTTGTGGGATTCGAACTCAAAGCCTTTAGTCTCGCGCGTGAAATCTTAATTCTCCAATAAAATAAAAGTATAGTAATGTTTATCTTAACCTCCTTTTCCCAAATAATTATTTAACTATGCATCAAACTATGGTGTTTGGTATTTCAAATCATCATCTTCACAATGTGATAAGTGTAGGAGAAAAAAATTGTTATCGTACGTTTGTGAAGCTACATATAATCTTGTCTACTTTTCGTACGAATACATTAAAAGCAAATTAATACTGCCGGAGAACGTGTCATAACTATATTTTAGAAAAAGACAGTATAGGCTTTAAATCAGTTATGGTACATTTTTTTGTTCTTACACATACGACCAATCAACTAATCTTTTTGATTTCAGAATAAAATATTGACATCATATATTTTATCTTGTTATTCTTAGTGTGATTTCTTTGATAAATTAAGATTTGATTGGTGCTTTAATCGATCTTATAGTTACCAACGTGTTCTTGGACAAATATATATCAAACTAGTTAAATTCACAGTAATAATACGCACTGCTAAAGAGTCCCATAGTAGGACGAAACGGCCGTCCAGTGCTTCCAGGTTTTCCATGGTGGTCTATCTTCAATTGACTCACGATTACAACTATTGATATTAAGTAAGAATTAATTTGCATAAAATAGTTTTGTTTTTGGAAAATATCGTTACATATTAATATGTATTTGATAAGAATATCTTATCCCGAAGGTGAAGATGATAATTACTATTTTTATCTTCCTTGTAATATGGAAAATAGTAGACAAATATTACGTATATATATATATATATTCTAGGTTTTTGAATCTACGACAGAGAAACCTAGTGGTTTTTTTCATTTCTTAGTTAGTCTCACTCAACTTTCAACCCTTCAATATATCTTTAAATACTAAACAAAATGCGCCAATCAATCGTAAAATCGAAACTGATCTACATTTATCCTTGTACAATTTACTAAAAATTTATTCAGTACTATAAATGTCCACGTGTTTATTATGTTCAGTAGATCGGTAGGAAATCGTTAAATTACTGGTTTGATCAGTTTGTATTTTTTTTTGGTGGATTATGAAATTAATACATAATTATTTTCATAATAACTATTTATTTCAAATCAAAAAGTAAGACACTAACACTGTCGGATGCCAGCTCAGTGGTCTAGAGATTAAGAGTTCGTGCGTGAGATCGATAGGTCCCGAGTGTACAGCCGAGGAGTCACACAAAAGGATGAAACGGCAGTCCAGTGCTTCTAGACTTTCCATGATGATCTAGCTTTAATTAACTCATGATCTCAACGATTAAAATAATGATAACTTCATAAACGTTTTAAAGTTTATTTTTGAATATGATTGACTTTCATTCCGAAATGTTATGTTCATCAGATTGAAAAAAACATTTTCGAACTAAGCTTGTTTAAATGAAAACGCTAGCGAGTACACTTGCTTTGACTTGTTGTTTTTCATATAATCATAAATTCAATCATTACATTATGTCAAATTGTATTCGTTGTAGTTATTTATTTGATAAAAGTTATTTTTATGTGAAGTGCAAATTCAAGTTTTTCTATTTGAACCCTAATTTCCTGTTAAATTTCGAACCAAAAAATAATTTAAAAAATATTTTTACATATTTATAGTAGATGTTAATTGTTCACGCTTATCATCTGAAGATTGATGTGAACTAACGATATCTCGTTGATCATTTTAGACATTCCATTCTTGCTAAGACATCCGAAGACTAAAAATGAGATCCTGTATGAAATGATAGGTTGAGAATCTTAAAATGAAACAAAACAGTCACTAAACGGCTGACACTTTTTAGAAATTTTTCAACCAGTGTTAATTTATTATAAAAGCGATCTTATTATCTGAAAGCTATACTACTAAAGCAAAACTTTATTGTTTATTTCTGGATATTTCTTTCAGTTTATAGCTTCCTTAAGGATGATGGTATTGTGTAACTTTAGAGATTATTTACAACTCTGAATGACAGTGATGAAAAACTTTCGTTCAGTGAGCTAGATAATTTGACGTCTGAGCTGGTACATCTAGGAAGCTTCACGAATGAACAGTTCAGCCCACGAAACGGGACAATAAAAATTACGTGATTGTAATTCCGTGATATCTGTCAAACTGATGCACGTTATTTTTAGAGATTATCATACTGCGTTGACCAAGATGAGTTATCACCGTTCTGACAACAGCAGACCAAACCATCGTTCGTACTTTGCGTCGTGTGGTTTGCAATGGTCCCCAGTCTGTGGTATTAGCAGTAAGTCTGAGGACATAACACCACTACTCCTCCTACTATTAGTATTGTTGTTGATGTCACTTTCATTATTTGCATTGTGTAAGGAATAATTCCAAGCAAATTTTGGCACATTAATAATAAACTTATTTCTAACATTTAAAAATGACTAAAGCTTCTTATAACTTTTTTCAGTAGTATTATTAATATGTGACTGTATTTTTCAGGATTCATGCCTTTGAAAGTTGGTGCGCGTTCTGTGCTGAAGAGTCCATGCCACTGTATAGTGTGTTCTATTTTTCAGTATTTTTTTCAACAAAAATCGGCTTAGAATGAAAATCACTTACAATATAGAATGCAGTTTTAACACGAAGTAGTACTTTATGTTGCATAAACAGATGACAACCATGTACACTTGAGATTTATACATACAAATTTCCCACTCTGCTGATTGAATTATCAAATAAAACAAAATATTTTACAACTTATGTAATTAGAACTCGATAGAAAACCAATTTATTTAGCTGTTAGTAAATATTGTTCAAATCAGTCAGCTACGTAAAACATGATGTCCCAATGAGACTATAATTTATGGACGACCTTTGAATGACGCCAAACTGACCTTCAGAGTGTCAGCCCAATAACAAGGACTCAACGAGGGTTATAAACCAGTGTGAGGAACTAGAATTATGACTTACAGTTGATGGTTAAGGTTAGGAATTAGATTATGGGTTTTCATTACGAACAGACATCAGCTTTAATGCCAAAACTCTATTTGGCCAAATGAATGAGAGAATTTTGCGCCAAAATCCAAGACCTGTTATCCTAAATCTGATTGATTCGTCCATAAATTATAGTCTCACCCACGATTAAAATTCTAACAAATATATTCTATTTCTTTTCAATGCTTAACAATACTTAAATATACAAATAATTATGATTTTCAAGGAATAGGAAAGGCTTTTTTATCTTTTTTATTCAAGTTTACTTTCAAGTTAAAGAAACCGGAAACAAAAAACAGAGCACATGTAAGTACCCATAAAGCAAAATTATCAACATTCTCATTTTTAAATCCTTTTTTCAGTGTCTTTTTAAATAAGACCCTATAATTCGCAAAGCATTTATATTAGATACATAGAAACAAACAACTTGAAACCTAATATGATAACCATAGCTACAAATTGGAATATTTCTAAGGACTTAGAAAAAGTCTCACTCATAGACAGGTTCGATAACCATACACAATTTGAAAATTTTATATTCATCAAATGCTTTGTAAAATATCTTTCATTCATGCTAATAAATTTTGCACATATTCTTAGAGCTATTTTACCAAGGTTTTAAATATTAGTTAGAAGAAATTAAAACAATACACGCTTGTCATAAGGAAATATGGATAGTGGCTAGCAATGGAATCCAGGAAGGGGGTTTCGACCGACTTGTGACTCGTCAGCCGAACGTACTGCATCTCAGAATTGTTGTTCACCCTAGGACTCGAACCCAGTACCGTTCGCTTAAAACATCATCGCATTATCTACTTATCTACTGAGTCCTGATAGCCACTTGCATTTGCAATGGGGTGAAGTATAAATCCACTTGTTATTGTTTATTTGAATCTTTCCATTGTTGTTTAAGTCTACAATTGATCAGTTTCTTATTGACATATATGTATACTGTACACGCAGTCGTTTCATTTTTACGCAAAATGTAACGTGGGAAAAAAGTGTAATCAAAATAAATAATCTTTAATTGATACTGTAAAGTTTAATCTTTTATGTATTACATTTGGTAATCACTATAGAAATTAGCATATTATCAAGAGAACAACTCTAGAAAAAGTTCATTGAAGTGATCATTTCTATTCTGTAATAAAATTCTTTTTTGTTATAATTGATATCTAAATAATATTTTGTCAACTTCTTAAATAAATATGAATAAACACTGTAAGTATATGGTATACAATAGTATGTATCAATCATCTAGATCAGGGGGTTACTAAGAGATACTATGGTAATTCATTTTTGAAAACTTTTGTTTATTACCTCTCTCTCTCTCTCGTTAAAGGTCATATAAGACAGTATTAGACAAAACAAAATTCCTTTACATTTTATAAAATGTCTAGATGTATGTATACAAAAACAGTGGTAAGAAGAACTTATCTTCTAGGTAATTTTATGTGAATTATAAAGTTTTCAAAGCTCTTCACATATCGTGAAT